TATTAATAATTACCTTAAATTACCTTAAAAGTTCTAAATGCACCAATTAATGGACAGATTGGTATAGTGAATGAAAAAAAAAATTCTACCTTCAATAAGAAACTTGTTTTAAATTCAATGCCATGGGTAAGTTGAAAGTAAAAGGACAAAACTAGCAAGTTAAATTTTAGCAAGTAAGAATCAAATACTGGGAATGCAACTGTATCAACATCTGATAAGTTAGATTTCAGAGCAAAGAAAACTAGAGACAAAGAGGGACATTACCTAATGATAAAAGGTTGAATGTACTATAAAGGCATAATGACCCTATGTGTGACCCACCAAACAATGATGCCTTGAAATACAGCAGAAATTTGTAGAACTGAAAGAAGAAATAGATGTTCACAGTTCTAGGGGGGGACATAAATACTCTCAATTAAACTACTGGAAGGAGCTCAGTTATAGAAGAGCTGTGCAGTACAAGCCACAATTGAATATTGATTGACCTGCCTTGTGTCTTTAAAAACAACAACAATTAATTATAGCATATAATTCTTTTTCTATCTTCCTGAAGTCTGATAGGTTAAGGATTTTTACATCTATAGTAATTTTTTTTTCTGTACACAGATTCTGTATTTTAATTATAAAACAAATTATCACATCAATTTAATCATCATTAAGTAACTTAAATACAATAACGTATGATGACTTTGAACATTATAACTCAAAATAATAGAAAACAAAATTAACTAAATGAAGTTTCCAATGAATTCCAGGCATTTCTGTGACAGGACAAAAATTTTAATTTAATAAAATACTACATTTTCTTAGCAAAGTGTTTCTTAAATCAGATTTTCCTTTCAAATTGTTCTTCATCTTTTAATCGGAGTTCCTTCTAAAGAATCGTTTTATTTACATTTATTTAGTCACAAATTTATTTTTAACACATACAGTGTGCACTATATGTTGGAATCAAATACCTGAAGGAGTTGGAATCTTATGAATACAACCAGGACAACAGTGGAGAGTGTCATGAACAAAAACATCACAATCCACACAGAAAACATTTTGGCACACAGCACAAACATAGACCTGCAGGGAAAAGAAGAAAAGTAAATTTAAAAAGTAGTTTCCAAAGTTAAGTAGAACATATAGCTAGAAGACATTCAAGTTGCTTTGCTTTTTCATATCTATCAATTTTTCCCTACCCATTACCTATTACTTTCAATGTACTATATATTCTCAAGTCTAACACAACTTATTTTTGACAAAGAGATTATTCCTTAAAAATGAGGGAATAACTTTGTTTTTGAGTCCTTAAAGACTCTTGTACTATAGGACACTCTCAATTACTTCATTTTAAGAAACTATTTTTAGGAAGACACATGTGCTTCAAATCATTACTAGTTTTTAATGCTTAGAGAGATCATCTGCTGATTCAATTAAAAAGAGAAGCACAACAATTTAACACAAATTTAGTTATCCCTACGGAATGACCTCACAATCACAAAAGTTATATTCCCCTTTTAATTAAACCATGAAAGAAAACCACAAAAGATATATATAAGACAAATAAAAAGAAAATAACCATTATTCTATCAGTATTACCTATATTGATACTTGTGCCTGGGGGTAAAATTACCAGGGCAGCATCATTCACAATTCAAAAACCATTAAATATTGAACAGCACAGAGGTAAGGATGCCATGCTCTTAAAACTGTTAAATGATTCAAAAAGTGGTTCTAGTGAAGATGAAGCTACTGATGTTAAGGAGGCACACAAAACTTAATCAAACTGTTTTAATGCAATGTGAGAGTAGAATAAACAAAGAATCCTTCCAACTAATACTCATTTTATATAGTTTATAAAGTATAGCTTTAAGTATGGACATACAATTAAATTAGTAAAAATATTAAAATTAGATAGCCATCTATCTTACTTGCATCAATATGTAAGTTTAATATTTCAAACTGGACCCCTTCAAAAACTTTGAAAATATTTTCTCATTGGCACAATGGGGCAATAACCTTTGGTTTGTGGCCACTTTAAAAATGAGTTACAACAGCACTTTAAGTACAATATGGAGAAAAAACTTTAAATACTTCTAAAGTAAATGTGGTTTAGCTTGCAAACTGAAGACAGTTTAAAGTATTAAAATATCTTTATAGCAAAATCAGAATGCAGAATTATAAAACANAAAAGAAAAAAAACCAAACAAACCCTGATTTATAGCATTTGCTGGTTTCCATGGTATAAAACTGGAGGATTTATCCAAAAGGTCTAATATTAGAATAATAGGAGAAACAAAGAAAAGATCAAATGAAGAGTAAGAAAGAAATAGTTCAAGGATGTTTTCTAGTATTGAAGGACAGAACTTTCTAAATTGAAAGGGACTGTCTATTGCTTAAAATATTAAAGGAAAACAGACCCACACCAAAGTATATCATTGTGAAATTTCAGAATAAACAACAAAATACTAACCCTAAACATTTCTGGAGAGGGAAAAATCAGTTCACATAATCTGAAATTAAAATAGCTTGTCTTCTCCCATCAGCAATACTGGATGCTGACAGGGAGTGAGTGACTTCCTTCAAAATTTATAGTGAAAATTATTACCAACCTAAATTATATATCCAGCCAAACTGTTACTTAAATGTAGGTAGAATAAAGACATTGTAAGTTCTCAGACTTGTAATTTACTCTTTAAAATAACTTACAAGTATTTAAGAAAATTCCACAGTATATCCCATCTTACTTTTACAAAATTTTAATTTTATTTTTGTCAAGGTTAAATGTGAGCATGCTTTCTCAAATGGGATTCTTAGAGGGAATTAAGCCCTATAGAAATTCTTTGAGTAACTATTTTTCAACTCTCTCAAAGATAGCAGACAGCTGGTACAATTCTAGGTGGACAGAAGTTAATTCATTGCATATAAAGGATGTCTAAGGGCTTAATTTTCAAGGAATAGTTTGAAGAGTTAAAAGTTCTCAACACTTGTCACAAAAATTGCAGTTCCCTACCTATTTACCCTTCATTTCCAGGTCCCCAGAACAAATACTCTCAAAACAAGTGTTGGTAGTTGCCTATACTTACAGTGCTCTCAGCATTTTCATAGGCATTGGCTATGAACCTCCCGCTATGGAAGAGAGTATCAAATTCTCTTCAACTAACTAATGAGTATTTAATTCTCTTCAACATACATAACTAATGTCATTCTCAATTCTTCCTATACAATTGCTTAGGATAGAACAATATTAAATGTTTAGTTTATTTTGACTATATAAACATATTCAGCTGAGCCATTTAATACTTTTCCTCTCTTTAAAACATTTTTTCCTTAATAACTGTATTGTTATGCACATGCTTAGTTTTCTATGTAATTACCACTAACTCTATCCCATTCTTTATCTGAGAAGTCTAATCATGTTCAACTACACCAGCATCTCTAGTTTTTGACTTCTTGGTAATGTCTCTCCTGGAGTATTCTGACTTTCTCCTAACCAGACTGTTTTCTGTATTTGACAAACAAGTGTCATTCTGGGATCTCCTCTTTTCAGCAACCTAGGGCTTTCTTTAGCTACTTAAATAAACATTCCTTTTCTTTCACTCATTCTCTTTCTCAGTTCTTTTGAATCATCTCTTCCAGAGCTTCCCCAGAAAGTCTCTTTTTTGAGAACTTACAAGTCTGAAAATGTCTTTATTCTACCTACATTTAAGTAACAGTTTGGCTGGATATATAATTTAGGTTGGTAATAATTTTCACTATAAATTTTGAAGGAAGTCACTCACTCCCTGTCAGCATCCAGTATTGCTGATAGGAGAAGACAAGCTATTTTAATTTCAGATTATGTGAACTGATTTTTCCCTCTCCAGAAATGTTTAGGGTTAGTATTTTGTTGTTTATTCTGAAATTTCACAATGATATACTTTGGTGTGGGTCTGTTTTCCTTTAATATTTTAAGCAATAGACAGTCCCTTTCAATTTAGAAAGTTCTGTCCTTCAATACTAGAAAACATCCTTGAACTATTTCTTTCTTACTCTTCATTTGATCTTTTCTTTGTTTCTCCTATTATTCTAATATTAGACCTTTTGGATAAATCCTCCAGTTTTATACCATGGAAACCAGCAAATGCTGTAAATCAGGGTTTGTTTGGTTTTTTTTCTTTTTTAGAGAACTGATTTACTAGTATATCACCACTCTTATTATATACAGATGGGTTTGGGGAAATTAATAGATTTCTGGACATCCAGATCTGTACAATAATGAGTCCTTTCAGTCATAATGTAGGCCTTCTAAGTCTCATTTTCTATATTAGAAATAATCTTGCCCAGGTTAAATGCCTATCTTTTTTAATGTGGTAGCAATGCATTCAAATACTATTTTATCACTTGTACGAGATATAAATTAATCAAAACTCATATACCTTTCTCCATTATGTTCTTCTAGGAGAATTTCTTGAAAAGCATCCAAAGGAAATAAATGATGGTAAGACCTTGCCAAATGGGGAGCAGACACCAAAGTCAGACCTAACACATAAAGCAGAGAGACATGTTTAATAGCCCAGACTTCATAAAGACAATGACTGGCATGTCAAAACATATAACTTAGGCTAAATATTTTTGAAGTATTTTTTAGGCCTTGAGTTTACCTGTGACCACACAAGGAGATTTATAGGATGGCATCTTTGTTCTGTCACTAGGTGTGTGACCTGCCCTGGCACATTTGCTTAATAAAATAAAATTTTACAATTCTATTATTTTAATTCCTGATTCTTCTTATATATATTTATTTTATGAAGGTAAGAGCTGCAAAAATGTTTACTAGATCAATGGCATTGCCTTTTAAAAATATACTTCTTTCAGAAAGAGAATCAAGAAACTCTTGGATGTTATGCTTATTCTTAGAATGGCACACAGTATAAAAAATAACCTAATTCTCTTCTCACAAATTAAATCCAGGAACATAGATGGAACTTAATATTTACATTTATTTTAATTAGAATATAGGTAAGAGATTCAAGATTAATTAGGTGGATAATGAACAGTTTGTTTCTTACCACAGATTTTACATTCAACTGGAAGCTCAGAGTACTTTGCCCGACACTGTGGGCAGAAATAGCCTCCTAATGTGAGTCCTGGCTCAGTACTGCTATCCAAATGCCTGAGGGGGAGAAACATTACTTTTAAAAGGTGATATACAAAGAGGTGATAGAGCAAAAGAAAGTCTTGATTTGAAAGTCTTTAAGTTGTTTCATAGCTCATTTAGATTCATTTTTTTCCCCTCTCTGCATTTGTTTTGAATGGTTTCCATTAATGTCTTTGAATTCACTAACCTTTTCTTCTTCAGTGACTACTCTGCTGCTAATCTCATTCAGTGTATCTTTCATCTCAGACATTGTATTCATCTCTTGAAATGTGATTTGGGTCTTTTTTCTATCTTCTGTATCTCTTAACAGCTCATGTTCTTCTTTACTTTCCTGAACATATGGAGTATATGTATAATAACTGCTTTAACACACTGTCTACTAATTCTATCAACTGTTACTTCTGGATATATGTCCACACTATGATTTTTCTCCTTGTTATGGGTAATATTTTCCTACTTCTTTGCATGACTGATAATTTTTGGTTGGCTGCCAGACATTGTGAATTTTGCTTTGGGGTGCTAGATTTTTTTGTATCCCCTTAAATATGCTGGGGCTTTTTCTGGAATATACTTAGACAATTCAGAAATAGTTTGTTCTATTCAGGACTTGCTTTTAACTTTGTTAGGCTGTCCAGAACAGCTGTTAGTCTATGGTAAATTTGGTTCCATTTCTGTGGACTCGAATATTCAATGCCTGTTGTGTTAAGAGGCTTTTCCACACTGACTGGTGGAAAGATGAACTATTCTCTGCCCCATGTGAGCTACAGGGACTGTTCTGCCTGCTCCTCTCTGGTGGTTCTTTCCAAGCCTCCAGTAGGTCCCTCAAGGCTGTGCTGATCAATACTCAGCTAACCACTCAGGGAAGTCTCTGCAGATCTTAAGCGCTCTTTTTAGTCTCCAGTACTCTGCCCTGAAAAATTATAGCCTTCTCAGCCCCCCCTAAACTCTGAATTTTGTTTCTTCAATGGAGCAAGACCTCCAGGCTCTGTGTGGGTTTTTCCTCCCTGCACTGCAGCCTGGACATTCTCTCTAGGCAGGGAGCTGCAATCACAGGGCCCACCTCCTTTGTCTCTCTTATTTCAGGGATCTTTGTCTGCACTGTCTGTTGTCCAATGTCTGAAAATCATTGTTTTACATATTTTGTCTGGTTTTCTGGCAGAAAGCAGCAAGGTAAATCTAGTCCCTATTACAGGTGGAGACGGTAGTTTCATTTGTGATTTCTTTGTGTGTGTGTGTTTAAGAATTACTTTATAAAATTTTATTTTGTTTTATCATTATGTAAAATATAAAGTTCCAAAGTTAAAACAAAGTATATTTAGAAAAGTCTAAGGTCTAACCTTTGCCTTCTCTATACACCACCTAGGTGAACTTTTTTTTAGTTTTTACTTTCTATTTCCATTACTACTTTTACTATTAATATAAACAAGTATGTGTATCTACTCAAATCTCCAGCCTCTTCTTAAATGATTGGTAGCATACACTTTTTTCTACCGGGCTGTTTTACTTAGTAAGATATCCTGATGTTTACTTCCCAAGAGTGTATGGACATAGTCCTCACTCCTCTTTACAGCTATATACAAGGCAATCTTTTACAAAACCATGGCATTTCAAGCCCATCTTTTAAAATTATAACTTACAGGAAGGAATTAAAAATGTAAAAATATAAATATCAATGACAGTTTCAAGGTTTTTACTTACGCCATGCTGAAAGAGGGTTTTGCATCTTGATCAGACAGAGATGCAATGGTGTGCTGAGGAAATCCTTCATAGAAGAAAATGTATTACTTTCTTTCTAAGCAAATAGCAAAATTCTAGGACTAAGAACCTAAAAATGTTACTACCAGAAAGCCCAAAGTTCTACAAAAGTTCTCTTTCCTGCCTTTTACATATGCTTATTATAGCATGGTCAAACTGACTGTAATTTCAGGTTACAAGAAAAATTAAAAGTAGGGGAAATAGGGAAAAATCAATCCATACAGACGGCCAGAGATTCTGAAGTTCCTTTCTATATTTTCTAATTTTATAACATGTACCACTCTTTAAAAAGAAAATGTTCTTCATTTTAAAATAGTTTCTGATACAATGGAGGAGTCTATTACATAGTCCACTTTCATTTTACATAAGAGTATACTTCTATGTTTAATTTTGGAATGCCCAAACCCATGTAGTTTATTTTGCATACGTATTGCAAAATTCTGAAAGTCCAAGAAAAGCAACGATAAAAAAGAGATTTAATTATATAAAAAATTTAAATCTATCTATGTATTAAAATAAATAAATGCAAATGACCAACTGATAAATATTTGCATCAGGTGACTGAAATGGGTTGGTATTCCTAAATGGCTCTAACAAATCAATTTGAAGAATAAATTATTATAAGTTTAAATAGTAACTTTAAAATGGGCTAAGAAAATATATCACTAAACCAAAAATGACTGGCCAACATAATATCTGAGATGTATTGAGTGTTTATGTCAAGCATTATTTTAAGTATTTCATCTGTATTAATTCAGTCCTTGCAGCATACAATGAGATAAACACTAGTATCATTTTACAGATGAGGAAATGGGAAAGAGAGACTGACTGGTACTATAAATGGCCAAAAACAAGACAGAAAAGCATCCCAGCGCACTGACAGTTAAAAAAATGCATATTAAACAAGGAGATTCTTTTTACATTTAAAAAGTTAACATCTTTTTCAATTATAAATGTAAAATGTTCATTACAAAATTTTTGGAAAATAGAGGAAAACAAAAAGTTTTTAAGTGATGCAAAACAATCATTCTCCCTCTCCTGAAAAAAGTCGCTTTGAGCACTTTGATGTACCTCCCTGCAAGTCCGTGTTTGCACAGCTTGTTTTACACAGCTTTGATTGAACAGTACAGAGAATTTTGCAGCTTAATTTTTAAATTTCCTATTACAATAAGAATTTGTCTATAAATATAGTGTCTTTGTACCTCTCTAGCCTTAACAGTAAAAGCCAGTTCTCTAAGTGGTAGCACTATTAATTTAAAGTGGTTTTAGTTTTCTTTTTACTTCTTTTTATTTTCCAAAATTGCTCCAAAACCTAATTTTCTCTAGCTATAAAAGACTTAAATTTAGAAAAATTCTTAAATGTTAGAAAAATTCACAAATGAAAACAGAAAGTCTAGCTTGAGTCAAAATACATATTTTTAAATGTCCATTTAAAAATAACACAAAACAAACACTTACCCATACGAATAAGTGAGCATTCAGAACTCGAGCTAGCGGGAGGAGGACTAACATGATGTGTCAGCAATTCTTTGTAATGGCTTTCATCTAAAATAACATGGTACATGCCTAACAAGAAGAAAAGTAAAAAAAATCAGCTTTCCAGACATAA